GTATCAAGAGTATCAAGGGTATCAAGAGTATCAGAGTATCAAGAGTATCAATGGTATCAAGGGTATCAGAGTATCAAGAGTATCAAGAGTATCAAGAGTCTCAAGAGTATCAAGAGTATCAAGGGTATCAAGAGTATCAAGGGTATCAAGAGTATCAAGGGTATCAAGAGTATCAAGAGTATCAAGGGTATCAAGAGTATCAAGAGTATCAAGAGTATCAAGGGTATCAAGAGTTTTAAGAGTATCAAGAGTGTCAAGGGTATCCAGGGTATCAAGGGTATCAGAGTATCAAGAGTATCAAGAGTATCAAGAGTATCAAGGGTATCAAGGGTATCAAAAGTATCAAGAGTATCAAGGGTATCAAGGGTATCAGAGTATCAAGAGTATCAAGAGTATCAAGAGTATCAAGGGTATCAAGAGTATCAAGAGTATCAAGAGTATCAGAGTATCAAGAGTATCAGGGGTATTAAGAGTATCAAGAGTATCAAGAGTATCAAGGGTATCAAGGGTAACAAAAGTGTCAAGAGTATCAAAATCATCAAAAGTATCAAGAGTATCAAGAGTATCAAGAGTATCAAGAGTATCAAGGGTATCAAGAGTATCAAGGGTATCAAGAGTATTAAGGGTATCGAGAGTATCAAGGGTATCAAGAGTATCAAGAGTATCAAGGGTATCAAGAGTATCAAGAGTATCAAGAGTATCAAGAGTATCAAGGGTGTCAAGAGTATCAAGAGTATCAAGAGTATCAAGGGTATCCAGGGTATCAAGGGTATCAGAGTATCAAGAGTATTAAGAGTATCAAGAGTATCAAGGGTTCAAGGGTATCAAGATTATCAAGAGTATCAAGGGTATCAAGGGTATCAGAGTATAAGAGTATCAAGAGTATCAAGGGTATCAAGGGTATCAGAGTATTAAGAGTATCAAGGGTATCAAAGGTATCAAGAGTATCAAGAGTATCAAGAGTATCAAGGGTATCAAGGGTATCAAGGGTATCAGAGTATCAAGAGTATCAAGGGTATCAAGAGTATCAAGAGTATCAAAGGTATCAAGGGTATCAGAGTATCAAGAGTATCAAGGGTTTTTAAGAGTATCAAGAGTATCAAGAGTATCAAGGGTATCAAGGGTATCAAGGGTATCAGAGTATCAAGAGTATCAAGAGTATCAAGATTATCAAGGGTATCAAGATTATCAAGAGTATCAAGGGTATCAAGGGTATCAGAGTATCAAGAGTATCAAGAGTATCAAGGGTATCAAGGGTATCAGAGTATCAAAGGTATCAAGGGTATCAGAGTATCAAGGGTATCAAGGGTATCAGAGTATCAAGAGTATTAAGGGTATCAAGAGTATCAAGAGTATCAAGGGTATCAAGATTATCAAGAGTATCAAGGGTATCAAGGGTATCAGAGTATCAAGAGTATCAAGAGTATCAAGGGTATCAAGAGTATCAAGAGTATCAAAGGTATCAAGGGTATCAGAGTATCAAGAGTATCAAGAGTATCAAGGGTATCAAGAGTATCAGAGTATCAAGAGTATCAAGAGTATCAAGGGTATCAAGAGTATCAAGGGTATCAAGAGTATCAAGGGTATCAAGGGTATCAAGAGTATCAAGATTATCAAGGGTATCAAGAGTATCAGAGTATCAAGAGTATCAAGAGTATCAAGGGTATCAAGAGTATCAAGAGTATCAAGGGTATCAAAGGTATCAAGGGTATCAGAGTATCAAGAGTATCAAGAGTATCAAGAGTATCAAGAGTATCAAGAGTATCAAGAGTATCAAGAGTATCAAGGGTATCAAGAGTATCAAGGGTATCAAGAGTATCAAGAGTATCAAGGGTATCAAGGGTATCAGAGTATCAAGAGTATCAAGGGTATCAAGAGTATCAAGAGTATCAAGGGTATCAAGGGTATCATAGTATCAAGAGTATCAAGGGTATCAAGGGTATCAGAGTATCAAGAGTATCAGGAGTATCAAGGGTATCAATGGTATCAGAGTATCAAGAGTATCAAGGGTATCAAGGGTATCAGAGTATCAAGAGTATCAAGAGTATCATGGGTATCAAGAGTATCAAGGGTATCAAGAGTATCAAGGGTATCAAGAGTATCAAGGTTATCAAGAGTATCAAGAGTATCAAGAGTGTCAAGAGTATCAAGGGTATCAGAGTATCAAGAGTATCAAGAGTATCAAGAGTATCAAGAGTATCAAGGGTATCAAGAGTATCAAGGGTATCAGAGTATCAAGAGTATCAAGGGTATCAAGAGTATCAAGAGTATCAAGGGTATCAAGAGTATCAAGAGTATCAAGGGTATCAAGGGTATCAAGGGTATCAAGGGTATAAAGAGTATCAAGAGTATCAAGAGTATCAAGGGTATCAAGGGTATCAGAGTATCAAGAGTATCAAGGGTATCAAGAGTATCAAGAGTATCAAAGGTATCAAGGGTATCAGAGTATCAAGAGTATCAAGAGTATCAAGGGTATCAAGAGTATCAAGAGTATCAAGAGTATCAAGGGTATCAAGGGTATCAAGGGTATCAGAGTATCAAGAGTATCAAGAGTATCAAGATTATCAAGGGTATCAAGATTATCAAGAGTATCAAGGGTATCAAGGGTATCAGATTATCAAGAGTATCAAGAGTATCAAGAGTATCAAGAGTATCAAGGGTATCAAGGGTATCAAGGGTATCAGAGTATCAAGAGTATCAAGGGTATCAAGAGTATCAAGAGTATCAAAGGTATCAAGGGTATCAGAGTATCAAGAGTATCAAGAGTATCAAGAGTATTAGAGTATCAAGAGTATCAAGAGTATCAAGAGTATCAAGAGTGTCAAGGGTATCAAGAGTATCAAGGGTGTCAAGAGTATGAAGGGTATCAAGAGTATCAAGAGTTCAAGAGTATCAAGAGTATCAAGGGTATCAAGAGTATCAAGAGTATCAAGAGTATCAAGGCTATCAAGGGTATCCAGGGTATCAAGGGTATCAAGAGTATATAGAGTAACAAGAGTATCAAGGGTATCAAGGGTATCAGAGTATCAAGAGTGTCAAGAGTATCAAGAGTATCAAGGGTATCAAGGGTATCAAGGGTGTCAGAGTATCAAGAGTATCAAGAGTATCAAGAGTATCAAGGGTATCAAGAGTATCAAGAGTATCAAGGGTATCAAGGGTATCAGAGTATCAAGAGTATCAAGGGTATCAAGAGTATCAAGAGTATCAAGGGTATCAAGAGTATCAAGATTATCAAGGGTATCAAGGGTATCAAGAGTATCAAGAGTATCAAGAGGATCAAGAGTATCAAGGGTATCAAGGGTATCAGAGTATCAAGAGTATCAAGGGTATCAAGGGTATCAGAGTATCAAGAGTATCAAGAGTATCAAGGGTATCAAGAGTATCAAGGGTATCAAGAGTATCAAGGGTATCAAGAGTATCAAGGGTGTTCCGTATTCAAGCGCTACCTAGATATTTCCAGACGTTTCATATCATACAATAACCTTTGTCCTGTCACGTGATGTCTGGAAACCCCAATCTCGCCCCAGTTCTCTTGCATTCATGCAACTACTAACATGTCCCCGGCACAATTAACTCCCAATTGCTGCTCTCATCTCTTAACCCCAAAGTATATTTAATTATTATTAGTGACACATATTAAAAGTGAACTATTGAACATTTGTGAAGTGAAACACTACTACTGCCGGTCCGGGTCTGTGTACGAGCAATACGCAATAGCTGGCCAGCAGAAGAAACTCGTGTACGTCTACCGGCTTCGTCTTCTCAACACTTCAGTTAAAAGGAAGGTACCTCATCAATCTCATTACAGTATTATCTGTTAAATAATTAGTGACAAGTTTTTAATATTGCTCTTTCAACATACAGTCCATTTGAACATTTTTAGGCAAGTTTATCCCCCATCCGCTGGTCCTGTCGAGTCGGACGAAAATCTTATCATTAATAATATATTGTGCTTTTATTAGCCTACCTACTGTAACTGTTAAAATTGTACAACTAAACTCTTAAAAGTGTCACTTCTCTAAATAATTAGAGCAGCATTTGTATTCCCCATTACTATTTTTGGTGAATAAATAATATTTTATTTCATTCCCCTGTGCCATCTCAGACGTGAATATTTCATGTTAGTTTCATGTTCATGTCCTCCCACTGCTACATGAATCACGTCATATTTCCTTTCAAATAGTTATTTGAAATCAGGAATTAGTTAGGATATTTAATATTTTCTCTAAGTTTCTCAATCAATTCACCATATCAATTATTGTCATTAACAATAATTTTCGTCCTTAATTTTGTAACATATTTTCACTTATCAGAAAGTCAGCCATTTTATATTTTCTGTCCTTGCGATGCACCTTGGTAGCGAACTTCTCCACTAGAGCGCTCTGCCTACAGTCTGCACGTCGCAAGAACCAATGAGCGTAGAGATTCGTAAAACAGAATAAATCGCCCAATGATATTGCTTCTTCAAATTGATCATATGTAAAACTCTGTTTCAAGCACAGGAAATCAGCTGACTGAATATAAAACACACTCCAGCTACATACAGCTGTGTGAATTGAATCAAAATATAAACGTAACCTTCAAGTTTATTTATTTACATCTTGGAAAATATTGTTTTGTGTGAATATTAAACGAAATATTAGTGGTTGAATCGATTCTTGTCTACGGATATTGCTCATAATAAATACTTCCCTACTCAATTTATTCTGCGAAAATACTGATTCAAATTAAATGACTTGTGTTAAATAGACTTTACCTTTATTTACTATGTCTATCCTGGGTCTGATGGTAAAGTGAAATATAAATTTACATTCATTATTTCTTATAGAGTGAATGTGAATGAATTGATTTATTCTGAGCTATTAATTTGCATTATTGTTAGGTCTAAGACTTGGAGTTATTTTGATATTTAGGTGTTGGTGAATATTTACATAGGCCTAAACTTATGATAAACTTAGGCCTATAGCTTACTCTTTTGATTACATAAATGGTCTGTTAAAATGAGATTCTCTACACTAGAGAAAAAGGCAAAACTTGTCAAAAATAGGCTTCAGAAAATAAGCAAGTTTGTGTCAGCCCAAATTACTCTCTCAGAAACTCAATCATTAAATGTTGTTTCCATTCAGCGCTTACACAACTATGATGATGAAGTTAGAGGTTTATTCTCTGATTTTAAAGCTTTATTCGATAAAGTGGTTTATGATGATCCTGGTTCTGATTATGACGAAACTGAAGCATGCTCTATGCAAGATGAAATTTCGGACTTGTACATTTCTCTGATCAGTGACTTGAAAATAGTGTTACCTGCTAAAACTAAAGAAGTAACACCTCCCACCCAACCATCTCTGCGACTGCCCAAATTTGAGTTGCCCAAATTCAGCGGTAACTACGAAGAATGGGTTAGCTACTACAATATTTTTGAGGCTTCTATTAATAGGAATGAAACTTTGGCCCCTGTGAGTAAGTTCCAATATCTGCTTAGTTCTTTAAGTGGTGAACCCTTAGATTTAGTAAAGAGCTTAAGCATAACTGCAGAAAACTTTGATGTTGCACTTAGGCTGCTTAAGGATCGCTATGATAATAAAAGGCGTGTTGTAACTCAGCTTGTTACAAAAATAATTGATTTGCCATGCATAAGTAGTGGTTCTCTCAAAAGTCTCCAACATTTTCTCACAGTTTATAAAGAGAACACTCAAGTTTTGAAAAATCTCAACCATGACATAACAGCTGAAAATACTCTGCTTGTCCTAACGCTTTTGAAAAAGTTACCTACTGATTTAAGAAAATCTTTTGAGGATTCTCGCATCACAAACAATGACATACCTGCAGTAAATGATCTAATTCAATTCCTTGAAAGAGAATTTAAACGATTAGAAGGAGCTAGTATCGGTCTTGGTCCCTCAGCTAACGCAAGATACCCTTCAGTGCAAAAGACTCAATCTAATAGTTATAGGCCTAAACCTCTTCGAGATAGTAAACCTTACTCCTCTCAAGCTAAAACAGCTTTCGTCACAGTGACTAACACTTGTAAGTTTTGTCAAGCATCCGATCACAATATATACAAGTGTCAAGCCTTTCAGGCTAAAAGTAGAGGTGATAGAGTTGAATTCACTTGTAAAAATAATCTATGCGCCAACTGCCTAGGCCATCTACATGATACTAATAACTGTCCTTCTCATAGAGTGTGTCGAATTTGTTCAAAGCGACATCACACTCTCTTACATGACTCAACTCCCACACAACAGCAGCCAAGTTACCCAACCAAGGTTTTTGAAAAAAAATATGGTAAGCCGCCTACAAATAACGCACCCCAAAGCCATGTCACCGCACCAGTGAATAAAAGTGCTCTTGTAGGATTGTCTAGCCAGTTAAACCCAACTAAAACAACAATTTTACTTGGAACATGTTTAGTTCAGGTGTTTACCAAAGATGGTCAGCAAACTGTACTCCGTGCTGTGCTCGACTCTGCATCTCAACTTACATTGATATCTGAAAGAGCTGTTCAGCTCATCAGTGCCTCCCGTACTCGAGCACATGATGAAATCCAAGGAATTTCTGGCTCACTAATTCATTCTAGAGGAATAGTGCACATTGATATATCTGCAGTTAATGGTCAACGCTTAGCCTACCATCATCCATGCTTGGTTTTGAATCGTATCACTTCACCACTGCCTCAGATCCCAGTCTCACCTCAAGTGAAGGGATCCTTAAATGATTTTGTTCTTGCAGACCCCTGTTTTGACAAACCTGGAGAAATTGATCTATTGATCGGAGCTGATTTATTCGCTCTCTCACTGACTGGTGAGCAGCACTTCTTAGGCCATAACCTGCCCCAAGTTTTAGGAACTATATTCGGATTTGTTGTAATGGGCATAGCTCCTGTTGCTACATCTGAGTTATCAATCCCAAAAACTGTTTCTTTTCTCACTACACATGATGGAGACCTTCACAGTTCAATCCAAAGGTTTTGGTCAATCGAAGAACCCCCGACATGTGTCAAGACTCAGTCAGAAGAAGATGTTCTCTGCTTACAGCATTTTGAAAGAACCCATACACGTGATAACTCTGGTCGATATGTTGTTAAGTTACCGAAAAGACCAAATCATCCACTATTAGGTGAATCTTGTAGTACAGCTCAACTTAGACTTAAAGCGATGGAAAGAAAATTCGCTGCTCAGCCCGAATTCAAAGATTTATACTCCGAATTTATGGATGACTACATCAAATCAGGCCACATGAGTACATGTGAGCAACCCCTTTCTGGTGAATGTTACTATTTACCCCACCATGGAGTATTTAAGGAGAATCCCCCTAATTCCAAAATACGAGTCGTATTTAATGGTAGTTCCAAAACAAACAATGGCGTCTCCCTAAACGATATCCTCATGCCTGGCCCTAAGTTGCAGAATGATATTAGTGATGTCTTGCTGTACTTTAGGTGTCACAAGTTTGTGTTCACTTGTGATATACGACAGATGTATCGCCAGATTCTGGTGGCTGAAGATGACAAGAAATATCAGTTAATCTTTTGGCGATCCAACCCTGATGAATCCCTTCAAGTCTTAAAGCTAAATACCGTCACCTACGGTCTCAACTGTTCCCCGTTCATTGCGATCAGAACATTACAACAATTGGTCAAAGATGAGGGTCACTCATACCCCAAGGCGTCTGAGATTCTAACTAAATCAATATTTTATGACGACATCATCGCTGGAGCAGAAAGTCTTGATGAAGCTTTGTCTGCACAGAATGAACTCAAGAACTTGCTCTCTAGAGGAGGTTTTGAACTCCGAAAATGGATTAGCAACGCACCTCAACTATTGGACCAAGTCCCAATTGAACACAAAGAGACTCCAGTGGAGTTAACTGAAAATAGTGAAGCCTTCTTCAGTGTCCTCCTAGGTCTAAAATGGACTCCAGAGTCCGACATGCTTTCTTACAAGGTTAAGGATGTTGAAATAAGTGCTATACTTACAAAGAGAAGAATATTATCTACAATCGCTAAACTGTACGATTTACCAGGATTTCTTACACCCGTAATTTTCTGGGCAAAAACACTTATTCAGTATCTCTGGACAACAGGGCTAACTTGGGATGAACCTGTTCCAAATGATGTTAGAACCAAGTGGCATTCATTCTTAGAAGAACTCCCAATAATTCAAGAATTAAGAATACCACGCTACATTTCTACTTCTCTGCATACGGCTGTGCAACTCCATGGCTTCAGCGATACTTCAGAGAAAGGCTACGCTGCTGTTGTCTACCTTCGTGTCACTGACTCTCAAGAGAATACAAGGCTCTATCTCATCGTCTCTAAATCAAAAGTCGCTCCTTTGAAAATAATTTCTCTGCCACGGCTTGAACTTTGTGGCGCTCACTTACTGGGAAAACTCCTTCAATATTCTTCAAACATACTCTCTGCTCATATGAAGATTGAATCAATCTATGCTTGGTGTGACTCCACAATTGTCCTAACCTGGATACGTACTCTTCTATACCGCTTGAAAGTCTTCATTGCCAATCGTATTTCAGAACTCCAAGAATTGGTCTCTCCTCACTCATGGAATTATGTCAAATCTCAAGACAACCCGGCCGATTGCGCCACTCGTGGTCTTTCACCCTCTCAACTTGTGACTCATTTAGATCATTTATCATTTGATGTGATCATTTATGGTGGAATGGACCGGAATGGTTACAGTCATCGTCAGATTCTTGGCCTAAGCCAAAATTCACACCTGTTATTGATGATGACACTCTTGAAATAAGGCCAAATCCTCTAAACGTTCTAACAACCACAGAGAAGATTAAACTCACTGATTTTGATGTACTAGAAAAATATTCATGCTTCAGGAAACTTGTAAATGTCATGGCATATATATTGCGATTCATTCATAATCTGCAAGCCAATGATCCCCGCATCGGACGACTTACTTGCCAAGAAACTTCTTCAGCGAAATTAAGAATTTTCAAACTCATACAAAATACATCATTTAAGGATGACATCTCTGCTCTCAAAAAGGGATCTCAATGCAGCTTAAAACTAGCTCGTTTATCCCCATATATTGATGACAGTGGAATAGTGCGAGTAGGCGGTAGGTTGAAACATTCCAACCTTACACAAGATGCGAAACATCCAGTTTTGTTACCTAAATCTCACTGTACTGTCAAACTGTTGATTATGCATTATCACCTAAAGCATCTACACGCAGGCCCTCAATTGCTGCAGTCTATTCTGTCTCAAGAGGTTTGGATATTATCAGCCCGCAGCGTGATAAGATCTGTGATTTTCAAGTGTCAAAGATGTTTCAGACTTAAGCCTGTAAACAAACCTCCACTGATGGGAGATCTTCCTGAAACTCGATTAAAACCTGTAAGGCCATTCTATCACACTGGCATGGACTATAGTGGACATTTTGACATTAAAGTTCATTCAACTAGGAACGCTCAACGGTTAAAATCATACCTCTGCCTCTTTGTATGTTTTGCTACAAAAGCTGTGCACCTAGAAATTGTAACAGACCTATCTGTAGACTCCTTCATAGCTGCACTAAAACGTTTTGTTTCTCGTCGTGGATTGTGTGCCCACTTATACTCAGATTGCGGAACTAACTACGTTGGAGCCTCAAAGCAACTCATGAAAACTTTTCAGAATTTCATCAAGGAATCAAACACTAAAGATGCTCTTAACAACTTCGCGTTAGATCACTCAATAAATTTTCACTTTCAACCACCAGCCGCTCCCCACCAAGGAGGCCTATGGGAGAGTGCTATAAAAAGTTCTAAATATCATCTGAAAAGAGTCATAGGCGATAGAGTTCTAACACTAATGGAATTAATAACACTCGCCACACAGGTGGAGGCTGTACTAAACTCGAGACCCTTAACAGCGTTATCCGCTGATCCATCTGACATCTCAGCCCTTACTCCGGGTCATTTTCTTATCGGCACTTCTCTTGTGGCAGTACCGGAACCAAATCTTGAAGAGGTTCCCGAAAATCGTCTCAACCATTGGCAAACTGTACAAGCCCTACATCAACGCTTCTGAAGACGTTGGCATCAAGAATATTTACATCAGCTACAACAAAGAAAGAAATGGGAAAAGCCCAACAAGAATCTAGAAGTGGGTGATCTCGTTATAATTCAGGACCCTAGAACACCACCACTACTTTGGCCTCTTGGACGCATAGTGAAGACTTCGCCTGGATCGGACGGCATCGTCCGAGTTGTCACCATCAAGACTCAGCGGGGAACCTTCTGTCGTCCTGCTACCAAGGTGTACCCGCTCCCCTGATCTCATCATCAGACCAAACAAAATGTTTATTCTATTTTCAAACATATTTCTATTTCAATGTTATGTATATATATTTAATCAATGTTTCTTATATTTCAATGTCAATCTTTATTCATTATGTGTCACTTTGTAACTTTCTCAATGTTTTGAACCATGTATGGTTCAAGGCGGGCGGCATGTTCCGTATTCAAGCGCTACCTAGATATTTCCAGACGTTTCATATCATACAATAACCTTTGTCCTGTCACGTGATGTCTGGAAACCCCAATCTCGCCCCAGTTCTCTTGCATTCATGCAACTACTAACATGTCCCCGGCACAAATAACTCCCAATTGCTGCTCTCATCTCTTAACCCCAAAGTATATTTAATTATTATTAGTGACACATATTAAAAGTGAACTATTGAACATTTGTGAAGTGAAACACTACTACTGCCGGTCCGGGTCTGTGTACGAGCAATACGCAATAGCTGGCCAGCAGAAGAAACTCGTGTACGTCTACCGGCTTCGTCTTCTCAACACTTCAGTTAAAAGGAAGGTACCTCATCAATCTCATTACAGTATTATCTGTTAAATAATTAGTGACAAGTTTTTAATATTGCTCTTTCAACATACAGTCCATTTGAACATTTTTAGGCAAGTTTATCCCCCAAAGGGTATCAAGAGTATCAAGAGTATCAAGGGTATCAAGAGTATCAAGAGTATCAAGGGTATCAAGGGTATCAAGAGTATCAAGAGTATCAAGAGTATCAAGGGTATCAAGGGTATCAAGAGTATCAAGAGTATCAAGAGTATCAAGGGTATCAAGATCATCAAGAGTATCAAGAGTATCAAGGGTATCCAGGGTATCAAGGGTATCAGAGTATAAAGAGTATCAAGGGTATCAAGGGTATCAAGAGTATCAAGAGTATCAAGGTTATCAAGAGTATCAAGAGTATCAAGGGTATCAAGAGTATCAAGATAATCAAGAGTATCAAGGGTATCAAGAGTATCAAGAGTATCAAGAGTGTCAAGGGTATCCAGGGTATCAAGGGTATCAGAGTATCAAGAGTATCAAGAGTATCAAGAGTATCAAGGGTATCAAGGGTATCAAGAGTATCAAGAGTATCAAGGGTATCAAGGGTATCAAGAGTATCAAGAGTATCAAGGGTATCAAGGGTATCAGAGTATCAAGAGTATCAAGAGTATCAAGGGTATCAAGGGTATCAAGGGTATCAAGAGTATCAAGAGTATCAAGAGTATCAAGTGTATCAAGAGTATCAAGAGTATCAAGGGTATCAAGGGTATCAAGGGTATCAGAGTATCAAGAGTATCAAGAGTATCAAGAGTATCAAGGGTATCAAGAGTATCAAGTATATCAAGGGTATCAAGGGTATCAGAGTATCAAGAGTATCAAGGGTATCAAGAGTATCAAGAGTATCAAGGGTATCAAGAGTATCAAGAGTATCAAGGGTATCAAGGGTATCAAGAGGTATCAAGAGTATCAAGAGTATCAAGAGTATCAAGGGTATCAAGAGTATCAAGGGTATCAGAGTATCAAGAGTATCAAGGGTATCAAGGGTATCAAGAGTATCAAGAGTATCAAGAGTATCAAGGGTATCAAGGGTATCAAGGGTATCAAGAGTATCAAGAGTATCAAGGGTATCAAGAGTATCAAGAGTATCAAGGGAATCAAGGGTATCAAGGGTATCAGAGTATCAAGAGTATCAAGAGTATCAAGAGTATCAAGGGTATCAAGGGTATCAAGAGTATCAAGAGTATCAAGGGTATCAAGGGTATCAAGGGTATCAGAGTATCAATAGTATCAAGGGTATCAAGGGTATCAAGAGTATCAAGGGTATCAAGAGTATCAAGAGTGTCAAGAGTATCAAGGGTATCAGAGTATCAAGAGTATCAAGAGTATCAAGGGTGTCAAGGGTATCAAGGGTATCAGAGTATCAAGAGTATCAAAGGTATCAAGGGTATCAAGGGTATCAGAGTATCAAGAGAATTAAGAGTATCAAGAGTATCAAGGGTATCAAGGGTAACAAGAGTATCAAGAGTATCAAGAGTATCAAGGGTATCCAGGGTATCAAGGGTATCAGAGTATAAAGAGTATCAAGGGTATCAAGGGTATCAAGAGTATCAAGAGTATCAAGGTTATCAAGAGTATCAAGAGTATCAAGGGTATCAAGAGTATCAAGATAATCAAGAGTATCAAGGGTATCAAGAGTATCAAGAGTATCAAGAGTGTCAAGGGTATCCAGGGTATCAAGGGTATCAGAGTATCAAGAGTATCAAGAGTATCAAGAGTATCAAGGGTATCAAGGGTATTAAGAGTATCAAGAGTATCAAGGGTATCAAGGGTATCAAGAGTATCAAGAGTATCAAGGGTATCAAGGGTATCAGAGTATCAAGAGTATCAAGAGTATCAAGGGTATCAAGGGTATCAAGGGTATCAAGAGTATCAAGAGTATCAAGAGTATCAAGGGTATCAAGAGTATCAAGAGTATCAAGGGTATCAAGGGTATCAAGGGTATCAGAGTATCAAGAGTATCAAGAGTATCAAGAGTATCAAGGGTATCAAGAGTATCAAGTATATCAAGGGTATCAAGGGTATCAGAGTATCAAGAGTATCAAGGGTATCAAGAGTATCAAGAGTATCAAGGGTATCAAGAGTATCAAGAGTATCAAGGGTATCAAGGGTATCAAGAGTATCAAGAGTATCAAGAGTATCAAGGGTATCAAGGGTATCAAGAGTATCAAGAGTATCAAGAGTATCAAGGGTATCAAGAGTATCAAGAATATCAAGAGTATCAAGGGTATCCAGGGTATCAAGGGTATCAGAGTATCAAGAGTATCAAGGGTATCAAGGGTATCAAGAGTATCAAGAGTATCAAGAGTATCAAGGGTATCAAGGGTATCAAGGGTATCAAGAGTATCAAGAGTATCAAGGGTATCAAGAGTATCAAGAGTATCAAGGGAATCAAGGGTATCAAGGGTATCAGAGTATCAAGAGTATCAAGAGTATCAAGAGTATAAAGGGTATCAAGGGTATCAAGAGTATCAAGAGTATCAAGGGTATCAAGGGTATCAGAGTATCAATAGTATCAAGGGTATCAAGGGTATCAAGAGTATCAAGGGTATCAAGAGTATCAAGAGTGTCAAGAGTATCAAGGGTATCAGAGTATCAAGAGTATCAAGAGTATCAAGGGTGTCAAGGGTATCAAGGGTATCAGAGTATCAAGAGTATCAAAGGTATCAAGGGTATCAAGGGTATCAGAGTATCAAGAGTATCAAGAGTATCAAGGGTATCAAGGGTAACAAGAGTATCAAGAGAATCAAGACTATCAAGGGTATCAGAGTATCAAGAGTATCAAGAGTATCAAGGGTGTCAAGGGTATCAAGGGTATCAGAGTATCAAGAGTATCAAAGGTATCAAGGGTATCATAGTATCAAGAGTATCAAGAGTATCAAGGGTATCAAGAGTATCAAG